TTGATATTCTTTAATTTTTACTATGAACGTACTAGTCTCAATATATAATAAAGTACAAATTAAATAATATATTATAAAACATTAACTTCATATAGAACATCTCAGTAAATTAATATCTTACATAGAATTTACAACAGAATAGCCGAACAATTAATTCTCATAAAATTCATGTATACATCTCAGAAAGTGAAACTATCGACTAACATAAAGAATATTCGAAAACATTACAGTATTAAAAATTATTATTTTTTTAAACTACTGGAAAGAAAGTTTTGGATTGTTATATCATATTTGTTAGACAATTATTACAAAAGAAGCACATACTTCACAGTTTATTAATAGTGTTAATCAGTACAATGGAGATCATTAACAACAGGAAAATATAAAAGAGTAACCGATAGCCAACACTGGTAAATATGAACGAAAATTACTGCCTCAGAAATATTTATCGATTAGGGTAGTTACTCAATTCTCTACTCAATAATAATGGTATGACAGCTTTTAGTATCCTTAAAAAAACACAATAAACATTGTTGATTAAGTTGCACATATAGATAACACTTGATCTAAGGAGCTATGTATATACATATATATTTATTGAAGGGATGATCCATGTAAATGGCGTATTATCAATTTCGTTGTTGTTTGATTGAATTCCTAAAGTACACGCTTTTGTACCATTTCTTAGAAATGATTGCAAATAACGATGTATATGTATACATATTTATAGGCCTTTGAGTCCACTTAACATAGAGAACCTAACTGTAATTGTCTGCAGGAACATAAGTTAAAAAGAACAACAAGTTCGAATTTATTATTTTTATCAAAATTATTGTTTTTCAGGAAATCTTGATTGATTTAGTGGTACAAGCTCAGTGATCTGTTTGTAATCTAGTAAGGAATTATATGCCAAATGCATTGTTCACCAACACCTTAACTCTGGTGACAGCACTAACAACAAAATATAGCGTTCAGTCTTAAGTAGGTTCAGGACATTGTATGCTGAGTAGTGTGAAAGATGATGGATGAGAGTAAATTTGGGTTGCTGACTCGATAGGCATACAAGATTCAATAATGCTTAAGAATGAAATCCAACCATAGTAATTAACGATAACACAAAACGTGAATTCAAGACAACTTGGGGATCAGAATTAGAAGCCATTGTGTTACAAGCCTTCAGTGTTTTCCTAAGCAGAACTTGAATGAATGAATGACAATTAAGGATCATCGTTTCATACCTTTAAATTAATTTTGTTTAGTACTAAACGTTCGTAGAAAAACTACGAAGTTCTGAAGTGATTTTCAACAAGCTGTAAACAACTGACCTAATATTTCTTAGATAGCTTCCCTTAGTATCATGTGGAACCCCACTAAGTATATATAACAAGTTTCTATCATTATCCTTTTACAAAAGTATCCCCTCAGTTAGAGTTATAGAGATTAGTGTTTTTACATATTGAAATCATCAGTCAATCGTTGTTAGACCACCATCAGAAACCTGTAAGCACTGGACGGCCGTTTCGTCCTGGTATGGGAATCATCAGCCGTGCGCATCCACGACTCCTGCACCTCGCGGGATTCGAACCCATGGTCTTCAGTTTTGTGCGCGAACGCCTAACCTCTGAGCCGGCACCCGACGGTGTCATTGTCTAACCCCGATCAATCTAGAGATTTTGCGCGACCTCACCCATTTGTCTTCAATGACCGGCATCAGACTATTAAGTTACATCCACGTTGTGAAATATTCGATATTTAGACAAGTTTGCTTCAAAACTGTTTTAACGTTTTCAGTAACATTAAACCTTTTTCAGCATTGCAGAGCATACAATTTCAGCTGATCGAGCCATTTATTGATATTTCAGGAAGATAACATTCATGTACTGTGACAGATATGACTCTTAGTGGCCAATTTGGATACAGAATAGAATATGCGATGAAATAAATCTTTCCTTTTAATCTCCGTATATTACATTTTGGCTTGTCCCGTTTGTGTAACAGCGGTAATGAGAAGCACAATCCCGTTTTATTTGGATGAATCTGTTTCATATATTCGTGTAAGCAGACAGACAATAGCGAGAAGCGTAAAGGCGAAGTGGAGTGAAGGAGAGTGGGCAAACTCAATTAAATGGGGCACGACCAAGTAATTACCATCAAACAAAAATAAGCTATACATGCGATAGGCGAGATAAGTAATGCACACACGCACCCAAGGAAGAAAAACCAAGGTTATAGGCGGATAATTAACAAGGTCAAAAGATGTGAATGATGACCCGAATAGGTTAGTTTGTCTGCAGGCTAGAACAAGCCGTGTGGGCTCGACAAACTAGCATACAGCAGAAGCTTTATCGTATTTGGTGAGAACGCATCTCAAATCTCACTTAGATTGGATACGTACATACATCTTGTGCACACAACTTGGTAGCAATGTTAACGAAATCTGAAAACAGACTAAACATCGACAGAAATTCTTCACAATGTTATATCTGAATTGGTTACAATATATAAAATTATCGTCGTTTTTATACTACGAATTATTCGTGGTTACCTAAATGTCATGAAAAAACAGGACATTATTGACCTTAAATACACTTATCATGCTCAGAGAAACTTGTATCTATGATACAAAGGTTCAGTAGATAACCTGCTTCCTTTCTAGTGAAAAACAGACCAATATTTCCAAATTAATAACTTACAAGCTGAACTTAGAAAAGGGACCAAATAATCCGTATTAGAATATCTGGTACAAAGGACCGCGAGTGCTAAGAATAAACTGATTAAACTGTTCCCAACGAAACGCAGTTACAAACAAAAGAGATGGTTACTAATCTATCACTAGAAAATAAGGGGGTATTGAAACTTCTTATCTTACTTTAAAACCAATAATCTGTTGGGACATTTAATTTCATACTATTAAGCGACTTACTTTGCGCTGTAAATTGTTTAGTTCCCTAAACTTTTAGTTGTATTTACAAGCATTTAGATCGTCAGAATATTACCAAGTAGCGAGAATAAAATTACAAATTGGACACTTATCGCTGAGGAATTTTGAATGATATAATTACATAATCTTTGACCGAACATATGATAATAACTTAATAGTATAAACTAATGTAGGGGCTGTTCATAGTTTTGTCATCAAATCCATGATAGGTACTAGTATTGTTACCAGAGTAAATATGTTTGATGCACATTAATTTATTTGGTTAGCGAAATCCGCAAACAATCATTACAGTTGAGAACAGTGAAACTTAGTACAGGGAAGAAAAGTTACTACAACTCATATTGAATTTCATAAGCTCTCTTATTTGCAGTCATAATTGTAAACGCTAAGTTCATCTGGCATAGCATCTAAAATGCCATTATTAGTTAGTGCTCGAGATTCTTCTGCCTGAAGATTGTGGTGATGATATTGTTCAGAAGAACAATGAAAGTTCCACAACCAAAACATCCAGCTCAGAGAACGAAACACTACCACATTCTAACATAGTATTAGTAAAAAAGGATTGAAAATCCACTCTCACTTAGTTGAAAATGTATTGATACGCTCAAAAAAGGTAATTCTACCACTACTTCAGGCTATAGGTCTAGATTTGTTACAAATTTTTCAACTACAACTCCATTAGTTAACTTTGACTGATTCTAACAGTGGTGCTGCTTACTCAGTAGTTTCACACTGAACGAGAAAATTAATTAGAAAAAGCCATCCACCGAAAATTTTCCGATCATGATTGTTCGGCAGCATGGATGAATACACTTAGCTCTAAATAGGTATTTGAGTATTCCGTGAATAGCATTAACATCTACTCTTTGAGCTAATGACCGTTTTTAGAATCACTATTACAGATCAACACATTCATAGAGTACAGCTAGTATTTCAAATTTTAAGGGTGAGTATTATTAGTTGGTGAAAATCTGTAACTATGTATGTTGGAGGTTACTAGATGTAAGTATGGAATATATTCAATGAAGAGCCAGAAACTGTAACCTAACATGAATCTGCCCAACCTTGGAGTTAAAATTATGTTGATACTGTATGATTAGCAAAATACTGTAAATAAATGCTTGATTATTACATTAATGGCGTTTTGTGACAGGAGCTGTCTTACTGACTTTATAACAAATAACTTATAACACTAGAAATAATCAAAACATTTTCGTAGGATCGAATTATAAATGTGACGCAAACAAACAGATATTAGTTGTAAAAAAAGAAGATTTGCTTGAAATTAGGGCCAAATACACAACAGAGGCATTCATAAAGCCTTGGTTCGAATGTTCAAATCAATTCACATGATATAAATGACTAATTTATTCTGTTATACAAACATAGGGTGATTAGAAAAGATAAACACCAAAAAAACAACCAAACGCGGAATGAATGATAAATACGATCTACCTGTTTTAATCAAAAAATATCGAAAATTAAACTGATTGGTTTACAGTTTCATCCATTATATCATAAATAAATCGATGAAATTGGTGTATCTTGATTGATGTATTATCAATTGACTAATGACAGGGAAAAAGGTGAAGCAAAAATGAAAAAAAATTTTTTGAAAGCACTTTACAAAACAGAAGCATGTTTGTTGTAGCGTAAGTGGTTAAAATCATCCACTTATGAGTGAAAATTTTGGGGAGCGGACAGAAGATATTCAAAATAGTTTGTGCAATTCTGATTACATATAACAGAAATAGTAGGAATCATTATGATAACAGTAGGAAGCATACGAATGGGGTAGCGACAAAATAATTGAGATTGTGCTTTCGTGAGTGAAAGTGTTCGAACAGATCCCTTAACAATCTTTTAAGAAGGCGGAATTCATTAAAAAGATTCGATCGGTGCCTAAATTTCGGACTTTGACAATATAGCAGCTGTATGTTTAACAAAATTAAGTCAAACAGAACATGATTATAAATATAAAAGGTTAGCGATTCAACAGAAATGAAATTATATATTCTAAATCAGTATGAATCGTGAGAATGAATTTTTATCACCTCCATTAAGTAAGTCCTATTGGGGCATGACCTTGTAGTGCACTGGACCTCGAATTTCTAGGACTGTGAATAGAATCATCTTCTGATGTGAGACGTGATGGATGCCGAGACCAATCTTGTAATTCATACTTGTTTTTCGACATCGAATTGCATCGAGATCTAGTTGTAACTGAATTTTCTCGATGAGAATCACCGTTTATGTTAACTGAAGTTTGAAACTGGTTTTGCGGAAGTGTGTGAGTATTAGACATCGGTGAGGAAGGAAAAGGAGATGGGGGTGATTGGAGAGACGTCATGACTGAGATTGGAGTAGATAATGAGGCATTCGGACTTGCAATCGACGAATTGCCTTTGTTGGGAGAAAATTCCTTAATAAGATTTCCAGTATCACCATCCACTCCTGGACTTATCCACATAGTCATTCCTGCGGCGATAGGGTTAGAAGCAGATCGATTGCGACACATGCGACGCTGATGGGAAATAAGGCTATACTTTTGACGAAAAGCCTTACCACATTGGTAACATTTATGTGGCTTTTCTCCTGTATGAGTTCGTAGGTGCTGAACCACATGACTTTGCTGCCTGAACAACTTACCACATAAACGACATCCATAAGGACGCTCACCACTATGCACACGCATATGTGTAGTAAGCTGAATTTTTTGTTTAAAAGCTCTTCCACAATGAATGCACGGATATGGCCGCTCATCGGTATGCGTGCGCATATGCTGTACTAAACCTGCCTTTACAGAAAAACTTCTTGAACATGTCATACACTGAAAAGGACGTTCAATTGAACCATCTTCTTCCTTTCCATCAACACCATTGATAGAACTCAATGGTGAAATTTGAAGAAGACTAGAACCAGACTGGTTTCTTTGTTTATTAAATCCCATCACATTGTTGCTATTAGTAAGTGAACCACCACTGGTGAAATTGAGTCCAAAAGCGGCTGCCACAGCAGCAGCTGCCGCCTGAGCATCCGTAGTTGACCCTGTTAAACCATCGTTTAATCTGGCCGAGTAGTCAGATTTAACGCAACCTCCAGTATCATGGGACAGAGGACGAGGTGCTGGAGGATGATAATTTGTTCCAGGACAAAACAAGTTGTTATGAACAGATGATGGTGTAAGCTCAAATGACTGGTGTTCATGATTCTGAAGAAGACAATGATCCCCTAGAGCACGTGATCTACTGGATTGTGAAACTTGATCCGGATCAGACCTGTTACAGAACAAAACATAGTAAAAGAAGACAAGTTTAGATCATTTGTAGAAACTGTGAGCAGAAATTTAAAAACAGAGATAATGCTTTTTGAAATCATGGCATGCTTAGAAAGTTCTACAAAAAATAGGGTGGAGAACGAAATGGTAAAACAATACATAGTAATTATAAGGGCTTTGTTCCAGTTACTGAATTATGGTCCAAAATCTTTTACGTCAATTGTTCTAAAGAAAAGTTGTTATTCAGGCCAAATACTTGATAATTAAAGTAAATAATTATAAATTTGGAGTGTACGTAAAGTGCACTAGTTATGTTAATCCAAACCACAGTAATGTAAATTTGTTAAAGTAAAAAACTCTTACTAAGTTTCTTTGGATTCAGCAGATTAAAATAAGACGAAAATAAATTATGAGGCAATGAAATAAATGAACATTGATGTAAGCAAAGTGAATACATTGAATAAATAGTAACTGACCTCCCGGATACAATCTAATGTTAAATTACAACATATACAGTAGATATTATGTCGAAAATAAGTTAACCAACTCTTAATCAAACTAAAGAAGTGTAATTAGTGATTACTGAGGTATTAATTAAGGTGACCATGAGCAATGTATGACTGAGAACAAAAGCCAGTGAGTTCAAGTTAGTACAGTGCTTCAATATGGTGAAGGGACATTAATAATATGTGAATCGAAGTACAAAATAACCAAAACAGTAAAGAAAGAACATAATAAGTATAGTTCTAAAGGAAAAAATTTGAAACTAGGAATTAGAGTTCACAATCTAAAAGAGACTAAGTAATGAGTACAACATTAAGATCACAATTCAGAAATCTGAATACCATGGTACAGCTCTGATGATCGGTTATTGACATCATAGATTGACATTATGTCCTAGTTTGATATATAACCGGGTGATATTAACTCTAATTGACTGATATTTTGATATATTCACGTCAGTGACAATAACGAGTGATTTGCTGAACAGATAACATGGCTCAGTAGGTCGTCCGTGACTTCATGCATGTGTCTTGTTTTGGTTTGGCCACTTCTAGCTTTCTTCCAGCCTCCTCCTACTCTAGACAGCATAGCCCCAATCACTTCAAACTGAAGATCCAATACTTTATCAGTTGGTTTGCTAACCTTACCTAGTACCCTTTTTCTAAGGTCAGCATTGCTTACTTGATAGTCCCAGGATATACGAGCAATGATTCTAAAAAATTGATGATCTAATACTAGTAAGCTATGAATATCCTCATTCTTAGTGACCATGTTGCACAGCCGTATAATAGGACAGAGCGGACTGCTGTGCAGTCAACTCGTCCCTTGGTTGACAGACGGAAGTCTGACCCACTCTACAAGAGGCAAAAGCTGACAAAATCCAGTCAAACATTCGATATCCGTGCTGAGATTTCGTCACACCAGACCACTAGGATTGATGAGACTCCCAAGATGAATGAAGCGGTCAACACACCCAACTACTTCACTTCCTATGCCTAGTTCAGGTGCCGACGCAAGCCAATCCTGAAGAACACTTTTACATTTCGAGGGGGGAATCGCATCTTGAAACATGCTCGCATTGTTGCTGGTGTTAAAAGAGCTACATTTTTCTAACGTCTTCATCAAACAGAACTATGTTATCTACATACTCTAAGTTAACAGGTGAATCTCCTGGTAGAATGTCAACTTTTGAAAAGTCGAATGATGAAAATTTTAACTCTTAAAGCTTGTCGATGACAAATTCAAATAAGAATAAAGAAAGTGGACAACACTAACAAACATCACTTGAAGTAACTAATTCCGATGACAGTTCGCCATCAGCTCTGATTCGACCAGCAGTGCTCGAGTAGAGGGCCTGGACAGGGTTAATGTACTTATTTGGTACACCCATCAATGATGGGCACTGTCACAGAATCTCACAATCAACAGAGTCAGACGCTGCTTGGCGGTAGAGAAATACAACAATTGTGGGATGTCAACATGTATGTACATGTTCTAGGATCTGCCAAAATGTGAATATTTGTTCAATACATCTCCGACCAGGTCTGAAACCAGACTGGTTATCTTGAGTCTGCTCTTCACGAGCCCTAATTAGGCATCGAAGTATTGTTGCAGCTAATATTTTAGATACTCCATTAGCTAGACTGATTCCCTTGTGATTATCACAAGGGGAATTTCGTTCTTTCTTATAGACCTGGACAATTAGTGATTGCGTCCAGTTCCCAGATGCCACCTAAGATCTCAGTCAATCTAACTGTTAAAATTGGACCTTCATCCTTAAAAATCTCGGGGGTTAACTTATCAAGAGCTGTTGCTCTACCTTACCTTAGATTACTTATAGCCTTTTCAACCTCATTAAGAGTTGGAGGACTTACATCAACTTGCCATTAAGGTTGACTGCAGAACGTGGGTAACCAAAGTGTGGCTGAAGGCTAAATGAAATGATCCCTGAAGTGTTCTGCCCATCGACCCGATCTCCTGAATTGAGAATGAATAATGGTACGGTCTTTTTTCGAGTCACTCTAGCAGTAGGATTTCTAATACCAATTTCCTTGGGTAGTTGTCTACTGTTACTCATCTCCACCGCATTTTCCACCTGTTTTGCTTTCGCTATCCAGCATTACTCGCGATTATTGCGTAGGCATTTTGTTAGCCTGTGTTTAAGCTAACTGCGCTCGTCAGAGTGTTCAGAGCTAGAAGTAGTGAGTTTCCGAGCACATTTCCACTGTTTCTCCCTAACTTTTAGGTTTAACTTACGGGAAGATACCACTTGTTTCCACAGCCCTTTGGATAATATTCTGAGCCTAACTTTTACTAGCTGCTTTCAGAATATACCTTCCCTTTATAAACCATATTTCCTTTCTTTTGCATGATCTCACTAGCTGTTTGTGTAGGATATTGATCACGATAGTCACAATGTGAAAGATCATTTTGGGGTCCCGTACTGTCGAAGGAATGACTTCTTCATCGATATGTTTCTTTAAGACTCATAAGCTGGCATCAGATGAATAGCATCGAAAAGTAAGGCTGCTGCTGGAGAACACGTTAACTGTTTGAGAATTGAGTGTGGCTAGATGAGCAAGAACCCCTTTAAAATTCTCTCCGTATTCCTCTATCTTTCAGATTTCCGCAAAGCATCTATAAATGTACTAACAAAGCATTCTGCTTGTCTACTTGATTTAAGACGGGATGGAGGTCTTCGGTCATGATTAATTCTGTTCTGTCAATAGAGTTCTGAGGTAGCAGACATAAACTGTGTTCCGGTGTCACTAACTAACAACTCTGGAACCACGAAACGACCGAATAGTTGACATAAATTTCAAATGTAGCCTGAACTTAGACGTTTACTAAAAACAGTTCTGACCACTTACTATACGTATCAACTATGAAGGGAGGTCTGTCCATGAACTGGAACAGCGAAGCCTAAGTGTACACGCTGCCACGATGACTGTAGTATAGGCTATGATTGCAGCTATCTTCCGCAATGCTTTTGCTTCAAACACGCATTTCATGCATGAGTGGGAAAAAGTGAAGAAAAATCGGATTAGGATGAGTCAACTACTGAATTGTAGAGTACAAATCCTAGCCTTTATACAAGATATAATGGATTATCAAGTTACACTAACCGTTAACTTAGTATCCAAAAACACGTTATAGTTCATTATGAATATGCCAATAGCCTGCATGCCAACAAACTCCACAGAATCGACAGACATCAAATTATTTTTCTCGTCTGAGAGATTTAGAACATGGGAACTAGGATATTTCAACGAACTGTTAAATGATGTAGGCAAACAATGTACATCCATTTAGAAGACACGCAATAACTAGAAATCCACCATTTAGTATAGACATACATCATACAGAATGTAAAAGTTAAGTCAAGCAGGTTCGTAACGGTACAAACTAACAGAAAAATACGATAAGGTTATTCATATATCCTATCATTATCAATATATTAGAATCAATTAGTCAGTCAGTTACAACGCAGAACTTCGTACGTTAAGTACATTGGTTCAGGTTGCCATAGCACATTAACACAGAGACACAACTGTCAATTGGAATCTCATAGTGGTAGAAATAGTAGAAGTATTATTGGTAATGGAGAAGATTATGATTTGAAGACATATTCAAGAAGTATAATTCAGTGAGATAAGTTTAGATAGACAAAGGTAGAAGTGTTGATGAATCTAGAAGATCAGGATTTGAGAGAACACAAAGAATAGATTCACATGCGCCATTGCTAACGGTTTTGAGCCAACTCACTCAAGGTCTCTAACCACACATTACTATCATCTCGCGGAGCCCAACCAGGTAGCCTACATCTAAAAACATGACTCAGTTCACTTGTCAGTGACTTCATGCATTTCTGCCATGTTTTGGTCTGGCCGCCCCTAACTTTCATCCAACCTAAACGTACACCACAAAGCATATCTCGTCGAGGCAGTCGGTGGTTGGACATACGTAACACATGTCCCAACCACCTCAACTGATGAAGTTTCACCACTTCATCTATTGATCTGCCATCCCTACCTAGCATTCGTTCCTTAACCATAGCATTGCTTACTCGGATGTCCAAGGGTATACGAGCGATGCTTCGAAGACACCTATAATCGAATACTAACGAATATCTTCTACTCTGACTGGCCATGTTTCACAGCCATAACGTAGGACGGAGTGAACTGCTGCACGGGTACATTCGACTTTTGGTTGGAAGACAGATATCACGCCTACACTATAAATGACGAAGGTAGGCAAAAGTCAATTGGGCTTTCTGTATCCGTGCTGAGAGTTCGTCAGTCACCAGGCCATTAGCACTAGTGAAACTCGAGATATACTGGAATACTTTCTAATGTTTGAAGGATTTTAGATGTGAGATGAAACGAAAGTATTGCACCAATGTCGAAAATCTAGGGATTCTCAGATGTACGATATATAGAGTGGGTAAGGGCACAGTTTTACTCAACGCAAATTAATTTAAGCGAAATAAGAATTAATAAAATTGCAAAAGGGGTGTTAATTTATAAAACTGAGTAATATTTATTGCCTAATTACTTTTATTCAAGACTCATTAGTGAATCACTCAAGATATTGAACTGATTCTTGATGAAATTTTTGTAGATCATGTATAACAACTGATGACCAAGTGAGTAAGAAAGGACTGACCGTAGGGGAACTTCTAGAAACATGCTTCGAAAGCCATACTTATTAATGGACTCGCCTGAAATATGAAAATGACAAGATCTTTTATTCCTTCTCACTTGAATATTCTTAAGGCACCAAGACCATGCAAGCAGACACTAAATGTATATTTTGACTATTCTGTGATAGCCTGACTAAAACCAAGCAATATGAAAAATAAAACCTAGCATCTTCGGAGTAAAATAATTCATTACTAAGTCAACAGCAACGGTCACTAAAAGTAACTTACTTGATCACATCTGGACAGGAGAAGTGTGTCAATGTTGAGGGAAACAAAAAAGGTGCAGTAGATGTCGCTACAGCTGCAAGAAGTGGTGATGCTGAATTAATAAGACTTGATGCTATACATTGTGGCAGCAAAGAGAAATTAGAGGGATTATTTGTAAAGCATGGTGCTGTATTTTGAGGAAATATATTGCTCGAAATATCACCGGGGAAATTGTTAATATGGGAAAGCTGATTGTTAGAACTCCCAGATACTTTTGGACTAACATGCTCAATCTCACTGAAAACTTGGGATATAGCACCAAGCTTTTGTATACACTTCTGTAAGTATTCGTTCGTAAAGGAATCATAGTCGATCTTTTGTCTAAGTTCTTCAATCGCCATTGACAATTTACAAGAATGTTCTTCTAGAGCACGCTTTTGGTCAACGACAGAACTGAACTGGTCCGCTTTCAAGCAATCCAGTTGGGGAGCTTTAGTATCTCCAGGAAAGCGTGAGTTCCACAGCTCCAGGAATTGACTGAAGAAGTTCATCAATAGTTATCCGAACACAACAGTGAAAAATTTACCGTAACAGGCATTTAGAACAGGTGAGAATAATCTGTTATGCTATAAGGATGAATTAGTAATCCGAATTCAACTCTGATTTTTATAAGATGAAGGAAATTTTCGGTCGAAATTTATATCGTGAAATAAGCCTGATCACCGAGTAAATGTTCGATACTGAACAGTCCAATAAAGCAAGTGTCCTGTACTTTTAAAACTGCCGGAAAGGCCATGTTGCGCAAATATCAAAAGCACCACTAATCTGATGGTCGAATTTAGATACTTAGGTAAATATAAAATATCATGTAGAAGGATCAATTTATACAAAATATTGAAGATTTGGTAAGGTTGTATATTATCGTGTTTAAGCTTCTGTTATCATGACGACTGGCAAAAAATTGAAAATGACCTTCGAGTAGGTTTAATTTATTTGGGCATGTACTTTATGATGATTGTCATAGTCCCAACCGCAGATTAATTGATTTTTAACGTTTTTATTTCACAAATGATTGAAAACAACGATATAAGTGCTCACTCAATCGATCGAAATAAATCCCTTAATAAATACTTTGTTAACGAAGCTGGAATTCTAGCTCAATGTTTTCTAAAATATCATGAAAATGTCACAAACCACTTTGAACCAACTCGTCGGTTTTTTTATCGAAATACAAGTCATCTCATGTGGTATCATTCCGGTAACCTGTTAACAAACAGAACTGGAAGTAAATCTTTGATATAGTACTTGATAATCTAATGCTGAGTTCGTAGGCAAACAACAAATTTTTAGTTAAGTTATTCCGTCCAGTAAGACTGTGTAGTTTTCTGCGGAGGATATTCCACTTCAAATGTTTTCCTGGTCAAGATGCTGAATTTGTGTCCGCGATGGTTATACTTTCGTTCTTCGATCTTCGGAGGTAAGGAATGTAAGGTTTAGTATCTCGCCTTAATTTTTTCGATTATTAGCACTGTATGGATTAAATCCTGCCCTAAATCTACCTAAAGAAAGTGCTGATACTACTTAGTCTTGTAGAGAATTCCAGTAATTTGTTATCCGATTTACAAAACGAAACTCTGAACTCAAACAATTCATTCTTCATCTTTCAACGTTTTAAGACTGGTCTCTTAGATAGGAGAGAAAGATTATAAACAGTGACTATCAAGTCATTATTCAGTATTTGGAAATACTCCTAAATCCCCTCTTAACTTACTATCGTAACAGCAGTTATTCTGCGTTTCTTCATCTATCTTCCCGTGGTTGGTCAGAAAGACACTTTTAAAACTTAGACCCTCACATTTATAGTGTGCTGATCATTTTCTAAGTTTGATGTTAATTTACTATATTAGTTGGTCTTTGGCAAATTCTTGAAGATACTGATTACCTTATAATTCAGTATTAGGAGGTGTAGAAAGGATTTGTTTCTGACCGATTTAGTCTCGCGTGCTTTCATGGATATGGGGGCGGGTGTTACTTCCCAGCCGCTCACACCACGGAAGGGCTCTGGTTGTCAGAAGGGGCATCGGCCTCTGGACTTCCACAGGAACTCGGATTTCATCATGAGACCTCATAACTCTTCCAAATGAAGACCTTCTAACTCCAGTGCACAGTTGAAATGGTTTGAATTATTTTTTCTTGTTAGCGTTTTTTGGCAAGTTGGTTTTTTCGAGGGATGGGTCGCCAACTCCAAGCCCAACATTCCTCATTTATTTGGGCTTGGGACCAGTAGTAGCCATGGAGGGTCTGAAGGCGAAGTTATGATTTTCTCAAGTCCTAACCTTCGGCAATCCTCATCACCTTTAGCTTTTTATTTTTAAGTTTCTTTCAATAGATTGTACTTCTTGAATAATATTACTGAACACTGATCTCTCCGATTACTGCTAATACTTCTAGTAGCTTCACTACTATGAGATTTGAAGTGAGTATTTCGTCTCTATTCTACTTTGGTATGGCAATTTGAACTGATATACGTAGGTACAAAGTTCTAAGTTGTTGACTGACTGACTGAATTCAGCGTAATATTAGTCTTCTGTGAAACGACGGATATGTATTGTCACTCATTGGAAATTCAAGACCGTAGGTTGATTTTTGTGAAAATAAAAACTTTCGTAACCTATATATTTTCAGTTTGCTCTGTTCACCACTTATGTTTATAACAGTGTATTCAAATGATCACTCAAAGTTCCATCCTCATTGTGCGGATAGATGTTATTCATTATAATATACATATATTTTCCAACTATAACGTAGTAATAGTCTAAAAAACACAATAACTGTAAGAAAAAGTAACAAATAACTTTTGAAAGTTGGTTACTTCTATGAATGTACTCGTCATGAGCATTATGATACCCCTGAATGGTAGAATAAGTATCGACTTTCTCATTGCCCAATATTGTAGTTTTCTTGGTTTGAACTCTTCGTTCACGGAAAATACTTGATTTTTATGTTTATTTCTTGTTTTTTAGATGGATACAAGGACTAAAAAAGTATCAATTTGGATTCTTAGATGATCATGTATTGTGTATAAAATGTGGTCCAGCAATAAAATTCCATGATATTTTAACTAATAAGTTTGATATATTTCACCTACCTACAAAACACCCCACTGTTTTCTCCGTACATCCTTTGGAACCTTATTTTGCTATAACAGAGATACATAACGTGAATCCGAAGGTTTACGTTTACAGTTATCCCCAAAAGAATGAAAATATTTTAAAAGGTAGATTGTAATTCGATTTGTAATCCCTGTTGATTTTGATCAAATAGGTGCTGCCAAATTAGAAATACAACAGTCCATATTTTCTTATAGCATGTATTATGCCACCGTGTCTGGTATACCGGACTTTGTTTTATCAATATGGTGAGTAAACTCATTACTATCAATCAACATTTCGCTGTTTGTTTCCTCGACTTCACTTTTCATGATAAAGGGCTATTGAAAATGAAAATAAAAGTTTTTGCTGTGATTTTTGTCATGGAATGGCATAGCAGCGATAACTGTAGTGATAACCTAAATGCAACGACTGTCTTGTTTTCTAGCCTCAGCTACTGAAAGGAGGAATCTTTTTAGACATGATACATTGCTATAAACCGAGCAAAATTATATGCATCCATTTTCATTCAGTTGGTGTCAGTGAATATTTTTTATGTAACTTATCCACCAATTAGCCATCGTTTAAATGTAAAATAATGGCAGATAAATTTCACAACACTTCCTAAATTCCTATAAACTGGCTTCATGCAAAACGGCTCAGTGAAAATAAAAATGCATTACAAACTAATGAACAGAATGCAGTTTATATCTATAAGTGAATTTTAAAAGTGAACTCTTCAGTAATTATTGAGTTTGAGAACTTAACATCGACAACTTTGTGTTTTATCGTTGTTATCGTTTCAAGGAACTAATAGCTCAATTAGAATTCAAATTCCAGTTTGTTTAACAATCAATCAAACATCAGTCTTCAAATTCGGAACAGAGAGAGACCACTGTCAGTTGTAGAAATCATGATGAGTCTAAAAGAAATAATTAATTATGACTACTGTAGTCTGTCGATGCTTTCTGTGCAGCTCAGACATGATGTATAAACCTCATTATACACTAACACTGTAGTGAAAGAGAACACAGGTGGGGCAACCGAATTGTATTTAACGAAAATTACAGAGTTACTCTGTAAAATTGGAAAACCATATCGTAAATTGTTCATTTGCAAAATATCAGTTCATCCTATCGAACTGGACTGTTCCTGTTGCCAAACATCAATCTATTGTCACTATTCATGCGTTTCATACAAATTCCATTGTTTTCTAACTCTTCCTTTCTTGATCGTTCCCCATCTCCCACTACCAGATATTACGCTGACGCTCACGTCATATACTACTTATAAGTAGCTCACACCACAACACTAGTAACGGTAGAACTTATGCGTACCCATTGTTTAGAGCGACCAACCAGGAAAGCTATTTTACAAAGTTCAGTTTTTTGGTAAGGTTGAATTCAGAGTCCTTAGTGCAGTTATGAGGTCTGTTCAGTCATAACTACTAAATTAGATATCACTGCATTGCACTTTGTATAGTTTAAAATATGACATGTTGTATGTTATATTCATTAGAGATTGATATCGAATTGAAAATATAGCAGTCCTTCATGTTTCAGTAGTCCAAAAACTATTAAATAAACTCTTACGTAGTATTTTTACTGTTTATTTACTGTTTTAATATGTGAAGCAGTGATTTACTACTATTTCACTTCGGATTTCTTTGGAAAACATCAATTTTATTATTGGTACTACCGTAAATGTATAAATCCTTTGTTTACAAACATCCCAAATCTTTGTTGGTCACTTAATTCGAAAATTATTGTCATTTTTGCAAAAGACCTAGTTTTATGGAATCTTGTCTAGAAAATATCTACGTTTAACTACAATACTCGAACAACTGTTTTACTTGATGATGTTCCGCAAGAGTGAATAACGGTTCCAGTAAAAGTCATCAAGTTTATTTCTCAGGTTGTCCACCTGGTTCTGTTTTTCTAATTGTCATCCAGACTGAATATAAAACCTTTAAAATAATATGATTGTTGTTCATTAGTTAACTCCGCCTGGAGCCCCTTCGACGCTACTACTGGTCCCAAGCCCGGATAAATGAGGAATGTTGGGCTTGAAGTTGGCAACCCATCCCTCGAAAAAACCAACTCGCCAAAAAACGCTAACAAGAAAAAATAATTCAAACCATTTCAACTGTGCACTGGAGTTAGAAGGTCTTCATTTGGAAGAGTTATGAGGTCTCATGATGAAATCCGAGTTCCTGTGGAAGTCCAGAGGCCGATGCCCCTTCTGACAACCAGAGCCCTTCCATATTGTGGGCATCCAGGAAGTAGTAACCACCCCGGCGTTCCCCAAAGCCGACCCAACTAGACCACATTGCTACCAGCCACCGATGGAGAGGCTCAAAAGAACACTGCCGCTCATTTTGGAGCACTTGTTTAAACTCAGATCATGCTCTAATTCAAGCACTTATTTGTTTGACTCTCACCGGACGCAGGAAATAGATCGCACAGAAGCCTCTTATGGGTCTACCTAATGATAACAGAGCTAATTTCATCTTTCAGGAAGAGCTAGAATATCAGTAAGGCAACCATGTAAGTGATGCCCACACAGAGACAGCTTGGAACGATGTCCGAAAAGCTGTAGTAACAGCAGTGATATCTGCTAGTAAGGCAAACCATAAGGTTAAGGATAAACAGTAGGTTTTAGTAGCATCAGCCGAAATGATAGATGCTCGGAAATTCATCCCTTCTGGCTCTGGGAACGATGAGGAGCGAAGTCAACTTAGGAGCAGGCTGATAAAAAACCTACACAAAGATCGCGAACAGTGATGGGTGGAGAAAGCGAGAGAGATGGAAAAGGCGGCAGCGATAGGCAACAGTAGAGGTTTGTTCCGACTTATCAAAGAAACCGGTATAAGAAATCCTACTGAAAGTGAGACTATCTCGGAAAAGGATGAGCATATTATTCATTCTGAATCCAGGAGATTGGATCGATGGGCAGAGAATTTCAGGGATCGATTCAACTGGCTTTAAGCGACACTACAGTCGCCCACGCCTTCCAGTCAACCTGAGAGGCGAATCGACATAAGTCCTTTAACTCTTAATGAAGTTGAGAAAGATATAGGAAATCTGAAGCGGGGAAGAGCGGGTGGACCTGACCTGCTAACTCCTGAGATTTTATGGATTCTTTTCCGGATTTAGCACCTAGATCGACTGAGATCTATAGTAGAATTCGGGAACTGGGCATAATCCCGTTTGACTTGTCTCAATCCCTTATTGTCTCAGTTTATAAAAAAGAACAAAAGTCTTCTTGTGACAATCACAGAGGAATCAGTTAAACCAATATAGTGTTTGAATTTTCAGCCCCGATAATACTTATACGCCTAACTAAAGGTCGTAAAGAGCAGACTCCAGAAAACCAGGTTGGTTTCAGACCTGGACGTGGCTGTATAGACCAAATATCCACACTACTTCAGGTCCTAGAACACAGACACACACACATACTAAGGCGGCATTTGATTCTGTCGATCATAAGGTTCTTTGGTAGTGTCTGTCATTAAAAGGTGTACCAAATAAGTACATTAACCTTAGACAGGCTCTCTACTCGAACATCTTCGATCGAGGGAGAGCTTATGTCGAACTGTCATCGGAATTCTCTACTTCAAGTAGTGTCCGTCAGAGATGTCCATTTTCTCCATTCTTGTTTAACTTTGTCACTGACATGCTGCTAGACATAACATTATCTTCGTTTGACTTTACAGGAGTAGACCTTCTACCAGAAAACTAACTTGTGGACTTAGTGCCGATGAAATAGTTCTACTTGGTGAAGACGCTAACAAAATGCAGTCTTCTGATCACCTTCAGCAACAAAGCAAGTATGTTTGGGATGCGATTCTCCCCCCCCCCGTCAAAATGCAAAATGTGGCTTCAGCATTGGGTTGCGTCGGCACCTGAACTAGTGATAGGGAGTGAAGTAGTCGGCCGTGTAGACCGCTTCACTTATCTTGGGAGTTTCATCAGTGCTGATGGCCTAGTGACTGACGAACTCTCAGCACGGATACAGAAAGCCCAATTGACTTTTGCCTACCTTCGTCATTTATAGTGTAGGCGTGATATCTGTCTTCCAACCAAAAGTCGAATGTACCCGTGCAGCAGTTCGCTCCATCCTACGTTATGGCTGTGAAACATTGCCAGTCACAGTAGAAGATATTCGTTAGTATTCGATTATGGGTGTCTTCGAAGCATCGCTCGTATATCCTTGGACATCCGAGTAAGCAATGCTTTAGTTAAGGAACGAATACTAGGTGGGGATGGCAGATCAATAGATGAAGTTTTGAAACTTCATCAGTTGAGGTGGTTGGGACATGTGTTACGTATGTCCAACCACCGACTGCCTCGACGAGCTATGTTTTGTGGTGTACGTTTAGGTTGGATGAAAGTTAGGGGTGGCCAGACCAGAACATGGCAGAAATGCATGAGGTCACTGACAACTGAACTGAGTCATGTTTGTAGATGTAGGCTACCTGGTTGGGCTCCGCGAGATGATAGAAATCTGTGGTTAGAGACCTTGAGTGACTTGGCTCAAAACCGTTAGCAATGGTGCATGTGAATCCACTCTTTGTGTTCGCTGAAATACTAATCTTCTGAACTCCTTTTAACGTTTTTATTCCTTTTTTAATTGATTCCTCTAGGGTATGCATCTCGAATGATATATTCGGTCATTAATCTTTTTGATTACTGATAATACTTCCACTGCCTCTACTACTATCGGATTTGAATCGACATTTCGATCACTGTGTGCTCGTGCGGTTTTGGCAACTTGAACTGACGTACGTACGTACCGAGTTCTGCGTTGTAAATGACTGACTAACTGTTCATTAGTTGCTATGAGAACAAATGTTTCAATGTAAGATAACCGGGTAAATGTGTGATAATGGACTCAAAAATTCTTCTCCAAACTAACGAATATAAAAAGCATAAGCAAGCAATTTTTATGTATTGAAATCATTTCTGATGAAAAATAGAGACGAAGAGATACTACTATAAATATAAGAGGCAGTACTTACTTACTTACGCCTGTAACCCCCAATGGAGCATAGGCCGCTCACCAGTTTTCTCCAACCAACTCTGTCCTGGGCTTCCCTCTCCAGTTCTGTCCAATGTTTGTTCATTCCTCTCATATCTTTCTCTATTTCTCGGCGTAGTGTGTTCCTTGGCCTTCCTCTTTTCCTTTTGTCTTGAGGGTTCCATGTGAGGGCTTATCTCGTGACGCAGTTAGGTGCTTTTCGTAGTTTGTCCTATCCACTTCCACCGCTTCTGCCTGATTTCCTCATCCACTCGAATCTAGTTTGTTCTCTCCCACAGTTCGTTGTTGCTGATGGTTTCTGGCCAACGAATCTGAAGTATTTTGCGCAGACAACTGTTAATAAACACTTGTATATTATGGATGATGCCTTTCGTAGTTCTCCAAGTTTCCGCTCCATACAGTAGAACTGTCTTCACATTTGTATTGAAAATGCTGATTTTGATTTTGGTTGAAAGTTGTTTGGAGTTGCAGATATTTTTCAACTGTAGAAATGCAGCCCTCGCTTTGCCGATCCTCGCCCTCACATCTGCATCGGATCCACCTTTCTCATCGATGATGCTGCCCAGATATGTAAAGGTGTTAACGTCTTCCAAGGCATCTCCATCAAGAGTGATTTGGTTGGTGCATGTTGTGTTGTATCGAAGAATTTTGCTTTCCCCTTTATGTATGTTGAGACCTGCTGCTGCAGAGGCTGCTGCAGAGGCTGCTGCTACATTGGTCGTCTTCTCTTGCATTTGCTGTTGCGTGTGCGATAGAAGAGCCAGGTCATCTGCGAAGTCCAGATCGTCCAGCTGCGTCCTAGCTGTCCAGTTGATACCGTGCTTCCCTCCAGATGTTGACGTCTTCATAATCCAGTCGATCACCGGGAGAAAGAGAAAGGGTGAGAGTAAACCACCTTGCCTGGCACTGGTCTTCACTTCAAACGGATCTATCAGCTGTCCTTCGTGCACAATTTTGAAGTTTAACCCATCATAAGAATTCCGTATGCTGTTGACAATCTTCTAAGTCACACCGTAGTGTCGAAGAAGCCTCCACAGTGTTTTCCTATCCACGCTATCAAATGCTTTCTCGTAGTCGATGAAGTTGATGTATAATGGTGAGTTCCATTCAATATGTTGTTCCACAATGATTCGTAATGTAGCCATTCGGTCAATAAGGGGCTGTAGATTACTTTATTTGTTTCGAAAATGATTCTAAAAATTATAACCGGAAATCTTATCATAAGTAGTGCTGAAGACGATATCTAAACAGCCAGTGTGAGATATTTTATGACAAAAATAGTTTTCACGTTAATCCACATTATACGTATTCACGTAATTCTTACTTTTTATAGGGACTTTCATTCCTGCGAAACATTGTGTAAAACCAGTCTAAATGGAATATATCTAACAACATTCAGCTTTTGTCCGACAGATTGGCATTATCTATTGGGAACAGATCGCCGCTGTATATACTTCTGGCAGGTTGAAACATGTAGCGAGATTAATTCTATTAAATGCAAGTAAGACTTACTATTCTGCCGACATACACAAATGTATGTTCGTTAACGTTATTATATCAGTATTATACAGTCTGTAACATTGTGAAATTTATTGAAAGAACTAGTAAAAATACCACTTAAATGAAAGGCCACAGATTCTCTGGTAACATTGTAAACCAAAGCCAGTTAAATTTAGTTATTTATTACTCCACTTGTTTCTTTGAGTAACTCTTCGACAAACTACATTTTTTCTCTATCATAAGTTTAATATCATATTCATTATCTGCTAGGTTGCCATTACAAAGCTTTTAACTAACTACTACACTTAATGAAATTTTTATTGCTAATTATTTTTTGATATAATTTTGTTATTAAAATAGTTGTTGACATCCTTAAGTTATATTTTCAAGAATGTAAAACGCCTCTTATAGCCTTGAACATTAACATCTGTATTCAGATGACTACATTTCATTCATATGAATAATTAAGAAAATTGAAATTAAATAAACGTGTTCAAGATTCATAAAAAAGGTGGTCTTTGGACTTCAAACCCAACTTAAATTGTATCATTTAAAGGGTTTATTCATTGATTTCTAACATATAAAGGAAACTATAAAAACTCCTTGTCGTATAACGCATTAATTGGTGCATTTATTTCGTTATTTTACACCAGCTCAACTTGCATATGGGGACACGTTGAGTTACAACAAGCAAACATGTTTAACACGTATATTGGTCACTTCGATAGATTCAGATTCACATTGATTTTGAACAACTTACTGTAGTTCTTCAGATACCAAATACTGGTCTCAACATCGCACACTTGATGGTACTATAACTGGCAGAAATTTCTTCGAAGACGTCTATGATAGAATATATGTATGCTTCCTTTGTCATCTATTCTAACAAATATGTTTCACTTATTTGGTAAGCTATAAAATGAGCTTATCGATAGTACTCTTACTCTCTGATAGACACTCAAATATCGTAGCAAAGTTTTAAACAACGTAGGTTTGCGAATGCCAAATCAACTTTCTGTAAATATGCAATATTTGTAGAACTCATTCGCTGATGGAACACGCAAGTGAACAAATCAGAAAACTCTCTTCACTGCATGCTGCAAAACTAAATCAATCAGTAGTCAAACGTCATTTCATTTTTCGCAGTCATCTAGCATAAACTATAATTTGAGTGTATCCTAATACGTTTTAGAAATCTACATTAAAACAGACAGTAATTTATATTTAATAGGTATTTTACTGATTAAATACTTACTTCATAAAAATGATTTCAGTTCCGTGGTATTGCCAAAAGCTTCTGTTTCGATTGGACCCTATGGATTACACGATTCTAGGACCAATGAAGAAAAAACAGATAGACGATGTGAAACAAGGTTTGATCCCGAAATACAGGAATCATCAATTACAGGTGATTTAATAGTAATTTATTTTTCACACGATTATGTTACACATAGCCATTATTTTGTGTTACTTTCATTAACGTTTATTGTTTTTGCACTTGGTAAGGACTCAACGAATCCAGAAAAGAAGAGTTTGACGATTATATGAACTCAGCTATTCGACTGAGTTGCGTTTCACAGACGTGGACGAATTTGGAATTAGTTTTCATCGGTTGTGAAGGTGGCCAGTTATTATTGGTACGTTTCATTTATAATAGTTAGCTTGTAATCGTCCTACAATTACAAAAGATGTACTTATCAGAATTTTCACCATTGTATCGATTATAACTGTGTCACTATTTAACTTAAACCAGTTTCGTCTGATTACTTTTCAACTTCTTGATCTGAATAGTTTATTGACCGACAAATCTATGAATATACTTCAACCCTTTGAAACGCTTTATTAAGTTCAATCAATAGATATCAATGTTTAACCAACAGATATTAGGCTCACTGAACTGTTACCGGATCTACGAGCAGACTTCTTGGTACTTCTGAATCGGTTCGGCTTTCTCTTTAGGCAAAAACCATCTTTATGACCGATGACCTCATACTTCTTGCATCGATGTTGCCTAAATGAGGAGTTTCGTACATAGTGCCATGAGCCGCAGTGCTAGCAAGGGTCAGGGGATTCGTTTTCAACTTTTGGACTGAGTTGGAGTGGGATGAGCTGGGTGTAGCAGGGGCACATTTATTCTGATTAGGTAGCTGCTGTACTAAATACACTTTAGATCGGTTTGACCCACCACTGTGTACTATAATTGTGTCTCGTTGTAGATTAATGAGAAGTTGGTATTCATTAGCCGTGTTACTATGGGTGAAATCTGAATGATAAATTCCACAAATATCATATATATATAAATATATATACACATTTTTGAAAATTCCGCCAAAAAAAGTTTATTTACATTCAGTGTGAGTAATGAAAATTAAAGAAGCATGCCATAAATCACACATCAACAGGTTTGCATAAGTAAATGTTATATTTTACTCTTATTAAAGTTATTGCACCAGTCGCATCTGTTGTAAAAATGAAATTAAACTTGGATAATAAACCCCTAGGGTGCTTTCACTGTTTACTCTGTTCGAAAATCATAGAAAACATGTCTATTATGCGCTAATGGTCAAGGACTAAAACAAATTACCTAATTATCTACGTGATACTTAAGACAGACTCGTTGAAATAGTCAATAGTAGATAAATTAATCCTATCTTAACGAAAAAATCACTGTCAACAAGGCTACTTCTATCAGGAAATCTAGTAGAACTGAGGAGCTTAGTTTTGAAAACAAACAAATAGCACTCAGGATAAACGTCTTGAAATGCTGTGCTTAGCACTGCATATTTTCTATAAAGAGAGAGCTCTAAATACTTTTTTAGAAGTTAACTACGTTTTATTGATGTTAGTAAGTTATTACAAAAACTGAATCTGGAACTTTCTATTTGTCACCTGTAGACATTAGACAGTAAACTAGTCACAATTAGAAAGCTCAAGAATTTAGATAATAGGATCATAAGCGTAAGTGTAGTGTTAACCCTAAAATCAAGAGTAGTTGTCTCATAAATAATTCAGCTGTAAGTAACATTAAAGTCCTTCTTTTAGTTTATCAAATGATGTCACTTTTTCTATATAATAAGCTCACTAATTCTTTTGCTTTTATAGTTTGATCCACTTAACATGAATATGAAAATTCTATTGAATCCAGCTTCTGATTGTCAGTATCTCAAAGGTAAGTAGGACAAAATAATATAACAGTAATGAAAAATAATAGATTCTTTTAAAAATTCTGCTGGTTATTGATAAATAAAGACAGATTTTTTATTGATCTGTTACAAGCGAATAATTTGCGAACTATTCATTGACCGTGTATCACACTATTTCGTTCTTGTTTAATGACTTTGCAATTTAGTATTAGTTTTCAACTAGAGTGCATTTAGTAGAACACTAATATAGACGATTACTGCTTACTATTTATATATCATCAAACATCTTTTGAGCTAAAATAATTATCTTTTCATAATCCCATAAATCTTTTGTTAATGTTGTGGCAAAAAGTAAAAACTCTTTCTTGATTATTTTAGTGACAACATATACTAGGTGTAGAAGATTTATTACTTTTTCGTAAAGAATTTAGTTCCTCAGATCAGTAAATTATATTGACTGTAATTATTTTCATGTAATTAAGTTTTTTATTGAATCGCTTATTTACAAGTGCATTGTTTTGTTTCCTATTCTTTTCTACAAAATATAGAAACTTTTGATAGCCATCCTGAAAAAATGGCTTCCCAATGTGATTTTACCTCAACAGATTCCGTATTAGTTAATTCAGAAGTGAAAACGGTCAACAGACTAGAAGGATGTTTAACCTATTTGTTATACACAGTGTATGGTTTATTAGCTGCCGGTAGTGATGGTGTTCTACGTTTAATTATTTTAAATAAGGCAACAACAACAACAACAACAGTAACAACAGCCAGTAAAACAAAGCACACTGACCAATTATCTGCCAAAGTAAATGAAGCAGTAAAAGTCAATATAAACTATTTGTTGAAAACTGAAATTCAAGACTGTATAAATCTCTATAAATTTGAAAACCCAATAAAAAATTCTGAATACCTTTGGGGTACAATGATTACTGGCTTATGTATATCATCATCTTATAGACGAATTGCAGTTAGTTCTCGGCTTGGTTATTTGCGTTTATTTAGTTTACATGATTCGCTACATTCTACTATCAGTCCAGACAAAGAAATATATACTAGCTGTTATCGATTTGTTGGAATGGGATTAATTACAAATGAAAAATCAATGGTTTGTGTTGTAAGTTACTTTGAGTATCCATTTTGATTGAACAATGTTTTGTGTGATAAATTTCCTTGACAAGGAAACACTAATTCATTTTACCATGTTTTTCATAAATAAAAGTAAAAACAATAAGAATATTGAGTGAATTTTTTAACATTTAAAGCCAATGAAAGTATAAGATAGTCTATATCATGATGGCGCTAATTTTAAGCCACATCTATCTACATTCAATTAATTTTTGCTATCTCTTAGACTCAAAACATTAATGTTACATTTGTTCATATAAATCAGAAAATTATAAAAGATTTATATATCCTGAAATCAGTTTGTACTGATTATTTTCATTGGATCAAGCTATAAACAGTCATTATTTGTAATCATTTGGAAGTTGTAATCAATTCAGTTAAACTCAGTCTGTGAATAGTACATTTCCAATGCGTGCAGTTTGGTGATTTGGTAGGAAAGAGGCTTCAACTCTTAGTATTCTGTTGCTACAGTAAGTTTCATGGATAGATAGTTCATTAACTCATGGTAAAAACTTGATTGACACTTTCAGTGACAAAAAGTAACCTAAAGCTCTCAACGACTGACCAATGTCTTACATTGAATTTCTGAGAAAAAATCTACTTCCAGTTTCTACATGTAAACATGCTCCTTGAAGCATGTTTCGGTCATTGAAATCAACTAACGTAGTTTGCATAATATGGACAAATTTATGAAGTCAAGGCAGCCTGAAGGGTGCAAAATCCATTCATAAGAACAACAACTGTCATAGCTACAGTTACCTCAAGAAGAAGAATGAAGTTGGATTTAGTAGCTTTTTAAATCTACACTACTGAAAAAGCTACAAGTAGAGAAAATAATTCTATATCATTTACGAGAATGTAGAGAAAATTTGTAGCTCAGGTGGATGATTGTGGTGGAGTTTCATTCTCTGAGTTGGATGTTTTAGTTGCGGAGCTTTCATTGTTCTTCTGAAAAACATCATCAGCACAAACTTCTACGTGAACGCAACTCTTCAGTTATTCGCAAAGTAAAAGTTAATTTGGTTTTATCATTTTTGTTAGATATTACTGAAGATTAGCTTCGCGTGAGAAAAAAACCATACAACTAGCTCCCTTAGTAAATTTAAACTTCGAAAATGTTAAGGTTTGAAGAATAAGATAAATTCATCTTATTTAATGTCTTCCCATCGGCTACAAGATACAGATATGTGACATAACTTGTTTATCTCTGTCTTATTTTGATGAATTTTGGTTTCATTTCAAACATTCATTTAAATGTCAATGAATAAAGCCGATGGGAAGACATAAAATATGATGACCTTATATTCTATTCCGAGGAACTTCTTATTGTTCCCTTAACTCATTTTATGCATTCCATGTGAAACCCAAAAAACTGTTTTCATCATTCTGGATGAACAAATAAGCCGTTGTTCACTGCAACTTTGAGGAGGTAAACATCTGTATAGTAAATTGTATAAAGATCATCTCTCTGTAAGATTATTCTGAGATCGTTCGTTCTGTTTGAACAATCAACATTTAAAGTTAGTCATCTCGTGTGATATTCCAGCCATAATACAGATCTTTGAACATAAGTTACTTTGTAACGTTTTTTTTTTAAAAACTAGTGAAGATTATGTATGAAAGAATTATAGCACTAAGTTAATCATTTTTAGGTTGAATAAATTGAAACCGTCTACCCATTACTAGATACTGTTTTAAAACTGACCACCTTAGAATGGCTCCCATACCAACAGACTGATATGTAATCTTTTTTGAGCAATTACCAAGTGACGACGTTTAAATGTATGACACATTTTATGACGAAATAGGGCGTAATTTTTAAGTGTTGCCGAAAGTTTGAATTTTGTTGTTGTCTGCCACGTATGTAATAATATTGATCTTGAACAGATTCAATTATTGAATGAAGTTTTTATGTTACGCCCAATACACTAATCATACACTTACTTTCATACCGAATATATGACCGATGAGTAGGATATTGTCAGACCAAATTAGTGTACCATTTTTTATTGATGTTTCATGCAAAATCTATTATTTGCAGTAAAATATACTAAAAGATTGTGTGTCATTCAGTCCATTATGGAATCTATTTAGTTGCATTACTTACTGAGTTTTTTTTATATATGTTAGACTTGTTGCAAGCGGAGGTATTTATATAACAAAAATCTAGAGATCATTAGGATATTGTTGGCGGGAAACTATGGATTGTTGTGTAATTGAGCAAGGAGAACGATTACCACTCAAACAGTGGTCCAGGAATTCAACTACTTCATAAGTTTATCGATCACAATGTTGTTCTTATGTATATATGGACTATAAGATCCAGTAAGATATACTCGATTATCCTTATTTATTCAGTTTGAGTCGTTACAATCCAAATTTCATTCATAATTTTTATGTCAATTTGATACATTGTTCTTCTCTAGTCCACCAACTAAATGTTTGTACGTTTTTAAGTGAGAAACTTCATCAAAGCCAATCATATCTTGCACTGTTTCATGTTCATTTTTCTTACTATTAACTTAAAAAAGTCTATAAGAGAGATGGAATCTTCTGGTTAATCTTCGTTGAATATAGAGAAAGACAAATCTCTAAATTAATTATTCACTTCTTAGTAGTTTTTTTTTATTTAAATTAAATATGTTTATTTCCCGTTTTGCAATCATCTGAATTCGATCATGTAAAATTTTTAACTCTATTTTCATTAATATGCTGCTCGACGTGTTTTAGGGAACCAGAAATTGTTTAATATGTACTTAAATTATATTACTTATCAATATAAAAAAAGTATTTGTTTTGTTTTGTAATAAAATTCGAGTTGTCTTTAGTAATTCTTAAAAAAGCTTAAATGCCTTTCAAATATACATTTTAGAACATTATTAATTTATCTTACGTTATAATTGAGAAGAACCGAGTGTTCCCTCTTTTTTTTTTTCATATTTGCGAGGCTTAAACGATACTGTATTTATCTTGCCTAAATTTGTCACACTCGTATGGGTCATATTTATACTTAAAACGATAAACATTTCATCATTGTAATACTCTATTTTTTGCACACAAATATCTGTTGAGTCTTCCCTCCGTGTACTTCCAACGCTTTTGCATTCCTTCTTCCATTCTGTTGTTTTGCCTTTCCTCTTTTCCTTCCCTATTGGTATCCATTTACTTCTTGCTTTTTGCTCACATTTGCTTCCGTTTTCCTCTTCTGACCCGTGAGAATTTTTTCTTTCACTCCCATACTTATACACTTATATCGTTTCGTATAATAGTACACTTACAAAATCATTAACCATTCATTTTTAATCAATTATAAAAATACCGAACTATCGTGTTACCTTTTTAATGCAGATTATTACTATTTTCTAATTATAGTCGTAAATACTATGTCATTTATCCATTTTATTTTATTTTATTTGTTTGTCATATTATTTCGTAAAAATTTTCAATCAGTTGTTGAGAATTGGAGTTATAGCTCCCATATTCTTGTAAGCTAAGTTTTTTTTTGCCTACTAATATTGTGTAGTAAAACCATTCAGAGTGTAAATTTGAGATTTTTACGTACTGAATATTGGAAAAATAAGATAATTTAAGCTCCTTAGGAATATCAAAGAAACAATTGCTCACCTTTATTCTAATGGTCTTTTTCATTTTTTATAAAGTTATTTTTTTTAAATTTCTTTACTTCCTCAGAATTCACTAGTCTAGTATCTTTTTCACCTAAAAACTTTGTTTCTGATATTATTTAAAAACTTGTGACATTTATTTTTTACTTTCCTTTGAGATTCTCTTTGTTGTGTAATTAGATAGGACCATGATTTGCTTCCTTGATATACTAATTGTTGTCGTTTTGGTTTAAAACTAATGGTTATATTTGATCGGGTGAAATTGTCAAACGCTTATTTTTTATCCCATGACAACGTAGTGGTTGTAAGATCTGAAATGTCAGAGACTTATCAAATTGAATAATATGCTTATTTAATATGTATGGATTTGGATCTGATGATAAAAGTTTGGTTCATCACTGAAGATATCGGGAAAGCCGTGGTAGGCTTATATGTTTGGGAAATTTGTTATCCGGAAGCTTTTTTTCCTTAGTAGTAGTGACGATCGTTTAATATCTTAACACCCACCATTATATTTCGAAAAGAAGCGCGAACATACCAAGAGTCTTAAAAGACTTTAAACTATTGTGTAATCAACGATGTTGGACATGTAAGATTGTGTTTGATTTGCGTTAGTCAACATGTTATAATACGTTCCCTGAACATCTTGTCTGGGACAATCTTTCTATCAGGCAAGGCACCGTGTTCCATCGAGGTCTACCGATACCAATACAGGCCAATTCAGAGAGGATGATATTTACACATTGGGGTTCATTTGGGTCATAACCTCTTAAGAGTTATATGGTGATGTAATCAAGGTAAAGGATACAGTAGACGGGTTTTTGTTTATCTTGTTCGTTTTCAACAGCATTAGTTGGCACGATACCATCTAGCTTGTCATAATCCTTTATTTTTGCATTTTTTTAATAATAACAACTTTAGAGTACAGTAAGACATTTTCTACGCTAACGTGTGACTGCCGTGTCTGACTGAATTATGAACTCAATGTAACTCTAGTACCTTAGATGGAATCATGTCACGTTATAAGTTTTATAGTTTAGAGGTTAAGGAACGTAATTTTCTTGTTATCTATTTATTACTTAATTACCTGACTATTTTAAAATTAGGAAAATTTTTCTATGTAGAGCCAGGTTTAAATTCGGTCCTTTTTTTAGTTTAATGCTTAGTGTAGTTGTTGAATTTGATTGCATTTATACTAGGGTTTTTTTATATTTTGGATGATTGAAAAACCCAAAAGCACATATTTCTCTGGATACTTATGCGTCATATTGGGAAGCATATTGTCTCTTTTGACTCCAGAAAGAATTGACTTTACTGGTTTTGTAGATATTGCTTTAGCAATCGTAGGGGGAACAGAGTGTGTGCC